CTTGTGTCTTGACTGCAAATATTTCCTTTTCAATATCCACTTATTTCCTTCTTACACTCTGTGTCTGTCTCCCTTTTCTACTAAATACAGCAATGCCTTTTGCACAGCAAAGGCCAAACCACTAGGTTCTTAGCCCTCAGCATGGTCCTGTGCCTTCTTATGAATGGGATGTTTGGAAGCTGGAAGCTTACATAATTTGCTCAAGGTCGCAGACCTAACAAAAGCCTGAAATCTGATCTGTCAGTCCACAAAAGTTATCATATTTATGTTTTGACATTTGTTTTTCAATAGCACACAAGACACAGTATCTAGTCAGCCAGGCTATCTAGGTCTAGCTAGCTGTGAGACTTTGCGCAAATCAGTTAATTTTAGTGATTCTCAATTTCCTCATCTACAAGATGGCAATAACTGCATTTCCCTCATTAGAGTTATTTTGATGGAAATAATCCATGTCTTTAATTCATATAACTATACAGCGTGATAAACTAAAATGAATTCATTTTCTTGTCATTTATGCTACCACATTTCCTTGCCTGTGCTTTACCAGTGCAGTGATACACATTTTATGTCCTTTATCTTAGGTGTAATGTGATCATCTTTCTCAGGGAAACAGGCTCAGAGGGGTTAAAGCCCTTGCTGGAGATAATACAGCTAGTTGGTGGCTAAGCCAGGATTTGACCTCAGATCTGTCTGGCTTCAGAGCTTGTTTGCTTTTTACCCATCTCAGGACGTTAAATTACCTTTTTATATTTGATGTGGCGATATTGCAGTAAGGTAGCTACAATGGATGGTAAAATCTGGTGGTGGTGGACGTCAAGACCCAGTGCTTACCCGCACTGAGTTCAGAGGCCAACAGTGACACTTCCCTGCCTGGCCTGAGGAGAAAATGTAGCCTGGTGTTTATGGTGTGTTAATTCCACTCACAGGACACTTGAAATTGGGAATACTTGGAAAGGTTCCTTGCAGTTATATTTTTATTTTATAACTTTATTCTCCAGTGACTCCCAGCAGGGTCACAGTCTTCTTAGCTTTTATGTGTAAGGCGTTCCTGATTAAGTTGGAATTAGTTTCTAAGTCAGACAGTCTGAACAGGACACTTGGGCACAGAATAAAGCTTCCCTCTTTGTGTTAATTTGGAAAGTCACTGTGAAATGAATACATCGTTCCCACCACATAATAGAGCTTGTAGATCATATGAGTTAATACTTGTAGATTACAGAGTCCTTTGTGTGGCAATCTTCCTGACAGCCCAAAGAAAACTTCATTTGTTCAATAGAACTGGAGTAACTAAGAGCTGTGTAACTCAGGCACATCAGAATTACAACTTAAACTTTTTTTTTAATTTAAATTTTTACATATGTTACTCTCAGTTCCCTCTCCCTCCCCTCCTCCCCCGGCCCCCATTTCTCCCAAATCTCCACCCCACTCCATCCCCACCTCCATTCCCCAGGGAGGGTAAGGGTTTCCATGAGGGATTTTCAGAGTCTGTCATATCATCCTAGGCAGAGCCTAGGTCCTCCCCCATGTATCCAGGCTGAGAGAGCATCCCTCCATGTGGAATAGGCTCCCAACTTGAACTTTTAGCACAGAGAAAGCTTGGCATGGTCAGAAGGTAGCTGGGAAATCAGCCTGCATGTGTGGAAATTTCCAAGTTAAATGAGCAACAGCCATGGGGATAATACTTCCCAAATTCTTGTTATTTGTCCTAGGCCTTGAACTCACTATGTAGCCCAGTGTTGATTTGGACTTAGAATAATCCTCCTGCCCTAACCTCCTGAGTGTGCAGATTAGTCCTCTACCACCTTACCAACCCCACTTCTTATTGAATGTTTGCGTCAAGGTGGATTCGCTAGGAAGAAAGACAATACCTGGAGGCCAGAGGTCACCAGGACCTGGCCTGTTCTTAGCTCTGGATTCCTTTCTGGCTGCTCTCATCAATGAATTTCTGAAGGTGCTGCATTCTGGGCCACAGGCAGAAGGGTGCTGCTGAGAGGCATAATACTTGTTAGAATCCATTCTCAGGAGCCCAAGATGGTGGTTTCTATGTGAAGTTTGATGGAGAGGGTGAACTGACCAAATGGATGCTGTAACCAAAGGCTTCACTTCTGATCCCTGTGGCCTCATGGGGGTGGGGACGGTGGGAGGTGCTCTTGTAAAATGGTCATGCCATGCCTTGTGCTGAGTTAGCCTGCAGCTTGGGGAGGAGTCAGGTGAGATGCCCAGCTCCGTGCTCAGCAGACATAAGCACACATCTAGGAGCCATTTAAGCTGTAAGTGACAGAGCTCATTGACATGTCACCTCAGGGTGGCCAAGCTCGCCATGGTTGGGGTGACAAAGTCAAGGGGAAGAAAGAAGGCCTTGTGCTAACAATAAGCACAGTCTTTCCCGTTTCTTACACTCCAAAGGCTCCAAGTGCTCGCAGAAATGAATAGCGTCCGTCGACCTATTATTAGGGCTCCTGGCTGCTCTGGAGGTGATGTTGTCTCCTTTTGCTCTACGTCTCAATTTCCCACCTCTCACTGCAGTTGATCTCAGCTCTACACAGCCACTCAGTTTATCTCGCTTCAAGTTTGAGTCTACCAGGGAAAATAGAATAATGCTACCTACCTTCCGACAGCTGAGTTTGGAAGTGAGACTGATTCAACCGCCTGGCTGGCATCAGGGCCAGGGACCTGCCAACCCGGGAAGAGCAGCTGTTTCAGCTGGAACCCTCATAATTCTTGTGACTTAGCTATTGGGTCTCATTTTAAAATACACAGACAAAGAAGAGGTCCATAAGAAAAACAATTGTGGCATAGCCTGAGCCCTAAGTAGAGGGGTGCAAGTGGCTAGTGCTGTCCTCCCGTGACTCGTGACTCTTGGAAAGAGGATACCCAGGAGGCTAATGTCACAGTGTAAGGGCGTGTAACAAAAGAGTCAGTTAACTTTCGTCTCTCAGTAAAGTGGAGGAGGTTATGAAATCATTATGAATCATCTTTGAAGATTCTTTTTATTGAAGGGAGAATGTAGGATGTAAAACTATGTGAAGAATATACTCTCAGCTGTGGAAAAGTGTGTTTAGCCTTAAATGAGACTGATACAAAGCACTCAGCTCCATGCTTGGTGTGGCAAATACTTAGTAAGTCACAGCTACTGGAAATGTAAATCCTCTACCCACAGGGAACACGTTTGCTGCATTCACTGGGTGCCTCTGTAAAGTGGATGTTCAAAAGAATGGGTTGATTGAATGGGTGTTACTATCACATGCATTTACAAAGGAATCTACAAAAAGGCCCCTGTGTTGTCTTTAGCTCCTTATGGGATGCTGGGACACGGGCAGTTGTGGAGACTTGCTGAGCACTGAGTCAGCTTGTAAAGCACAGGGTGCTGCGACCCCTACCCCAGGAGCTACAGTGAGTGACAGCTGCTTACATGGTCTGCACCACCTAAGTGCTGGCTACAGTAATAAGCACATTCCACAGAAAGACAAGCAAGAGTTGGGAAGATTTTTGTCTCACTTTTTTACCTTGTTGTGATTTGAGTGTGCAGTGTTCCCCAGGGTTTGCATTTGATACTCTTGTTTGAGGAGTCCGTGGAACTTTTGGGAGGTGGGGCATATCTGGGAGAAGTCATCACTGGGGGCTAACTTTGGGATTAATAGCCAAGCCCATTTCCTCTAGTCGATATCTTGGATTTCTGACCTATTGAGATGTTAGCAAGCAGCCTCACGTTCCTGCTGCCACAGCTGTGAGGCACTCTCACCAACATGACTTCCAAACTATAATAGACTGCTCTAGGCATCTGGTCTGTGGACCTGAAACGGCAACCACAACTCTTTGGGTGTGGCTTCAGGAAGACAGAAGCAGAAAGAGAGGAGCTTGAGGCATGGCTTTCCTTTGGATGCTCTTTCTGTTGGGTCAGTGGATTCAGTAGGAAGAGCAGGGAAACGTTCCAGTGGTTCTTTGTATTTTTCTGTGTAATCGTTCCCCAATAAACACCCATTTATCATTTATCTTGGATATAGTGATATAATTACATTGTCGCCTTCAGACTGTATCCATAGTACAATAGACCCTTACCTCACATCCACACGACAGCAGACTCTCAAGTCACATCCACAGGGTGTGTGTGTGTGTGTGTGTGTGTGTGTATGTGTATGTGTGTGAGATGCATCCACAGTACAATAGACCCTTACCTCACATCCACACGACAGCAGACTCTTAAGTCACATCCACAGGGTGTGTGTGTGTGTGTGTGTGTGTGTGTGTGTGTGTGTGTATGTATGTGTGTATGTGTGAGATGCATCCACAGTACAATAGACCCTTACCTCACATCCACACGACAGCAGACTCTCAAGTCACATCCACAGTGTGTATGTGTGTGTGTGTATTTGTGTGTGTGTGTGTGTGTGTGTGTGTGTGTGTGTGTGTGTGATCAGGGATACCTACCTCCATCCTTTGAAATAAGGTATTGCTAAACTTTGCAGATAACAGAGCTGCTGAAAGAAAAAGGCTGTTCCCACCGAGGGTGGTTGGTGAGGAGGGAGAATGTCCCCTGCTCCGTGTCAGTTTGGGAACATTATATAAGTATGTTTTATAATCTGAGATAAAGCTGTGAAGCAGTTGTAAATAACTAGGGAAGAGACCAAATGAAGAAGGACATTTGGATTAATTGGTTCTGGACAAAGGGACAAAGGCAGTAAAGACCTTTCACTGTTAGTGGACAGTGGTTTAAATTGTCTCTGTTGTTTTCTGTTCCCCTTGCATAGATCAGAGGAGATCCATAAAAACTGTAGTAGAAGGGATTAAAAAAGGAAAGTGAACTCTAATCAATTCCTGGAGAAAGTACTCAATACCAGTTCCTGGAAGTGTCTCATTGGAGGCCTACAAACGCTAGAGCCTTTCTCGTCTTTGCTTGCTTATTGGAACTCACCACCAAGCTCCTGGTCCTAATGATTCAGACCTGTACTTTCTTCCTAATTCACAGAAATGTGTAACCTTTCTGTTACCCTAATGTGCAGATATTCAACACCGTGCCTGACGTGCCCCTCACCAATGCCCAACTACACCTGTCCCGGAAGAAAAGCAGTGACTCCAAGCCCCCATCGTGCAGCGAGAGGCCCCTGACGCTCTTCCATGCTATGCCGTCCACAGAAAAACGTGAGTGTCTGCTGTCTGGGGCCAGGGTGATATGTGGAGACATCCCTGCTGCCTCTATGGCCCACTGTGTTGTGTGCTCTGTCTGTGTTCCACTGAGAAAGAAAGGCACAGGTCTCTGGGCAAGAAGCTGAGCTTCCACTCTTGCTGCACAGAAGGAATTGGGCTCTGGCCTCGCCAGAGGTCCCTCCTTTGTTGGCAGGTCTCATAGAAACAGCTCCCTTTCCCTGACTTGGTTTGGAATTAGTATTGGAGGGAGTTACGTGTCCTAGGCTGTGCCCGTGGGAAGCAGAGCCCTATGCTTACTCTTAGACTCTTCTCTGTGTTGACACTTTGAAATATTTGGAATTAGTTACTGAATTGGAAGATGATTCCTCTCTGTTCCAAGTAGAAGAGAAATAGCACCACAAATGTTCTGAACTTTTTCATCTCAGGACTTCTGAATACTTTGCAAAGATCAAGTGCAAGGCCCTAAAATATACAGTCTTATTTCAACTTTTGTGTCCCTGAAGTTGGGAGGCAACGAGCAGAGGCAAGAGAGGAGGAGTCCTGCAAGTCTGAGGCTAGCCTGGTCTACATAGCAAGTTTCTGGCCACCCAAAGCTACATAGCACAAAACTGCCTCAAAGCGAAAACAACAAATAAGAAAAAAAAAGTTAATCAGCCAATCTGCTTATGTGGTATAGGAGTGAAGCCAGTGTTGGTTCTTATATCAGCTTTGCCATAGGGGCAAACTTTTACCTCTTTCACCCCCAGCCTGCGTACCTGTAAAGTAGTCCCAGCAATAGTGCTCACCCCAAAGGACAGACCTGAGGATTAAAGAAATGATGTGTTGTATCATCTGGCATAAGGCTGTTACACACAAACACACAGACTAGTTCTAACATGCAGTGGACATTTACATGGTGCCTTCATGGTCTGGGGCTATATAAAGGGGACCTTGTCTATAAGGAACTCAGACTTGAGTGAGAAAATTAGTCCAGTGTTTACAACAGCTAGTTTCACAGAGAAATGTGCATTAAGGAAGGCCATACAATGTCCTGGCAAAAAACTCCGGGTTGTCTCAGTGGGAATTCTGGCTCCATGGATGACTATGGATGACTTTTGGTATCTGACATTTCAGGACCTCTGTCTCCTATCCTTGACATTAGGCACAGTGGTTTCCTGGAATCTTTGCAGAGATCAGGGGCTGGCCCTAAAATATAGAGCCACACTTGACTTTCTCTAATAAGAGACTTGTTGCAATGTAGGAATCGAGGCTTCAAACTCTTTTGATGGCATAGGACTATTGTGAAAATTAAAGCATGTTGAACATTTAGCACATCCTCAGTAGATACTGAAGATAATGATGATGATGACTATGAGTATGAAGACAGGTCTGTATGAATGCCAGCAAAGGCACAGAGAGGAGAGTGACCTACTTACCTCAGGGAGGAAAGGACTCATATCTGCATTGTATTGTTTTGTTTTTCTTCTCAAGGTTTGATACCCTTTTGCATTGACAAGTAGAGGCCTTTTTTACCATAGCTCATAAAATGAAACCTTTTCTGCCCTCCAAACCTTGCTTCGTTGAAAGATGCTTTTAATTCTCACAGTAAGGCTATGCCTTGGGAGTTAGCACCGTTTGGATTGCAGCCCATGCTTTGCTTTCATAAGTAAAGCTACTGTTACCATTTTTAGATTTAAATCTGTCCCTCTCTGCTCAGATCATTTCCTTTATATCAGTTCCTAGAAGAGTTCCCAGGACACAGACTTGATGGACTCTGCCCTGGCTTCCCTTCTAACAGAAGCCGTGTTCTTAAACATCTGGTAGGGGTCATTCTCCCCATAGTCTGCTCAGAACTTGGGCTCCTCTGTGTGTACCAGGGAACACTTGGAACAGGGCTGACCTCATCCCCATCTGCTGAGGGAATGAGGCACCAGGCTACAGGGTAACGTGCTTCTCAGGTTTCCAGGAGCGCGTGGTCGGTCACCTAAGGTTTCCTGCTAAGCAGTGTGCAGTGCAGACAGGGACAGGGCAGGCTGTCTCAGTCATCCCCCCAGGCTTCAGGTAGTGCTTGGATCTAAGCTTTACAGCATTGAGAGGAGAAGAGGGAGATGAGGAGAAAATCACTTAGATCTTGACCTGAGATTAGCGCTTGTCACAGGAGGCAAAGGCCCAGAGTTAAGGACCTGTGAAAGCAGACCTGTCTAAGCAGCAGAACAGGCTGGGTGCGGGTGACGAAGCAATACAGCTTCCTCCCAGTGACAGGAGACAGGACTGCAGTCTCTACATGCTTGGATTTTGGCAGAGTGTCTAGCTTCTGTAAGACACATTTCAATAGAAAAATCTGCGTGTGTGTGTGTGTGTGTGTGTGTGTGTGTGTGTGTGTGTGTATGTGTACCTATGTCTATGTGTGCATTTGGTTTGGACAGTGTATATGAATATAAAAGTATGTGTATTTTATAATCAAGATAAGTGCATTTTGAGCACTTATTTTCTTCTGTGGAATAGGAATGGTGTCCATGGTGGTGGGGCTATGGGGGTAGATGGTGCAAGGAGAACGAGGCCAAGAAATGGGAAGTTCTAGCTTAATCATACCCAGTCAGTGCCATCACCAGTAGGTGACCATGCACTGTAATGTTTCCATATACTTTATCCTTCCTTCGTTCAATTTATGGACAAATGCAGAGATCTTTCTCAAAGCACCCTTTGGAGTGAAAGAAAGGGTATGGAGTGTATAAGTTTTTCATGGAAGCAAATTGTGTATTTCCACAGAATTGCATCCTTCAAATGAAACCTCTTCTAGTTCAGGGCCTCCCAAATTGTAATCCTTTATACAGCCTCCTTTTACTGTTTGCGCCACAGCTACATTATTTGAGTGTGCTGCATGTTTACCACATTTTAAATTGATCTTAAAACAACCGACTTCTTTGCATAGCCTCAATTCTGGTATGTCAAATGTCTAAAAATGAATTTGATGTGATCATCACATAAAAGTAAATTCCTAGCTACTAAGTTAAAGACATTCCTCCACATTCAATCCCAGAATTACTTGCCGGACACGTGTGAAATGTCTGTGGACATGGTCCTCTATATGACCAACTCCGATCTTTCTTAATGTATTCACTTGGCTAGAATGGAGCTGAGCTATTGACAGTGAACACCTGTCAAGGTTTGATTGAACTTTATCTTTCCCATCTCCCGGGAGCCTATGCAGTATTTGCATCTGCATGCACACCTCTCCTGTCTTCACACTGGCCAAATCCTACTTTTTGGAAAGTCATGTCCTCTTCTGTCTGTCTGTCTTTCTGATCTACGCTGAGCCTTGTTTTGCTCCTGTCTCTTCTCTGCAATACCTGCAGTGTGATAACAATGCATTTGGCAGTCCCTATGCTGTCTGCCCTGAGATACTTAGCAGGAAGGCTCAGAAAAGTCCCTCTGGGATTCCAGTTGTTATTTTCAATAGACTGCCACTCCTCTTCAAGGATCCTGCTCCATAGACCCATTCCTTTCTCTCGGGGTGGGGTGTGTGTGGTAAATCTGTGCCAGTGCTTGTGGCCCTGCGTTGTCATTGGCTTCCTCTTGAGAGGACAGTCCTGAAGGTCAGATTGAGAGTTCATAATTCTTAGCACCTTCACTTGTGACTCAGAAGTGTCTGGTGCAAATGTCCTGTGTGCCAGCTGGAGCTCATAGATGTGTGTGTCTCATTTTTTAGGAGGGGTTTTTCTTTCTGCGTGGGTAGACCAGTTGCACACCCAGGCACCTGCACGTGACTTTGGGCTTCCATCTTTTGGAGTGAGTGAAGTCCTCTCCAACTTGCTTTTGTCATGAACAGAAGGCTGCATTTATGAGGACAGTGGACTCTATGTGCTGATGTTGGTGAAGAATTCGGTCAGTCTGAAAGCTCAGACGGGCTGGTAGAAGTAGCCTCCGAGGTGAGAACTCTAGAAAAGAGCAAAGGGAATGATGAGATTTAAAAGCCACTGTAGCAACACGTGCAAGTCTTGAGAAACCCACTGGATGCTATAGGGAGGAGAGAGACTAGCAGGCAGAGTCGTCTGCAGCTGGTCAAGGAGTGTGAAAGGGGGAGTTTTGAGAAAGATACTGAAGGAAATGAAGGTTCCAATCTGGAGAAAAGCTACAGAGAGGTCTGTGGTGTAGAACTGCCTGAGCACAGCCGTTAGTCCTCGTAGAGCTGTGGGAAGATAGCTTCCCCATGTGGAACTTAGAAGACATTCCCCATAAAATTCCATCCTCTCTTTATCTATGTTTACTGTGAAGGAATACTTATTAAAGTTGTTTATTTTTCCATGATGGCCCCTGTGTATAATGCCATAATTTTAACCTTAAAGTTATATGACGGGTAGTATCTCTTTTTTCCAGCTCAGGAGAAATAAAATTTAGAATCAGTGATGTACTCAGGGTCACCTAGCAACAAAGTAGGAAATCTGTACCCACTCTCTGTGCTATACCGTTAACCACTCATGACCCAGACTTCCAGTTTCAGCCTGTGGGATAGATCCTGGGAGACATGATTTGGTTAGGGAGGACTGTTGTGGCATAATCTGGGAGACCAAGTATTTGTTGTTTTCATGAATCTGAAAATTAAATTTCATTAGGCTGGGGAACTAGTATGGAGGAATGGGTGGATATATTTAATAAAGAACCCTTGAGACCAAACTCTATTTGAACCTCATTCAGTCACCGTGATAGCTTAAGTAATGTGCCAGCCATCATGCTAAGTCCATCATTATTTCTTCTCCTACCCCCAATTGATAATCCTATGAGATAAACCGAAAGAGACTTTAAGCAGATAGCAAGAGTGTGTCACCCAGATGCCCTCCCTCCCCTATGCCTTTTTATCTTTACAAAGGGACCTTCATCAGTTTTTGAGCCATAGAAGTGAAAACCTTGCTAAGCTAAGACACAGAAGCAGTAAAAGCCATCTACCTCAGCTTCCAGGGATACTTGGGGGCAGTTAAGCCATATTGAATGAGTTCTTTAATATGCAAACTGACAAT